GCAAAAGTATGTCTCTTATCTATCTTTAATATTACCATTGATAACCAAAAACTCTTTTTTCTTCATTCTTTATGCACCTTACTTGTTCCTTCTTCTTCATTTATAGAGACTAAATTACAATAAATTAGAATTTAGATATTGAGTTGCATCCAAGTTAAACTTATAGGCATTGAATCACATCAACTTAAAATTGGGGATCGAGTTAAAAAATAAAAGTTATAGGGATAGATGATTAACTTTCTCTCTCTTTATGTAACACCATTTCAAACATTAATTAATTAACTAATACTAAAAGTCTATACTTATAATATTAATTATTATTCTACCAAATCTCGGCCCGTTTGTTTAATATTGTTTAATATTTAAAAATAAATAATTTGTAGACAGTTTAAATGTTTATAAAAAGAGATTTATCTTGTAAAAATTTTATAAAAATAAAACATGATTTTAGAGGCAAAACAAATGGCCCCTTGTCATTCCTAATAAAATGTGTTAATCAGTCTCTAACTTTGAAGCATGGTGCATGGTTGTCAAACTTTCAAGTTGACTCTTAAAATTTAATATTTTTATATTTTTAACTTGCAAGATTTTTCAACTCATTTATAAACTTAAATTAGATATAAATTTAGTTAAACATGCGAATTTACCTTTGAGTTTACTATTTTTATGTTTTTAGATTACAAAATTATATTAACAAATTTATAAACTCGAGCTAGGTGTAGATTTGGTTAAACTTGTTAAGTTCATCAATTTTTTTTTAAAGTTTTGCAAGTTAAATATATACCATAAAAAATTCAGTTCATAAAAGTTATGAAACTTGGTTCAACAAAAAAAAAAACTTAAAAAGCAAAAACTAATATTAATAAAAATATAAAATACCAAAAATAAATTTTTATATGTTAAAATTTTTATATTTTTTATGATAATTTATCACTATAGATGTGTTTAATTTCAATTATTTATATTTTAAATATATTTAAATTAAATTATAGTCATATTTTATATTTTAATATTTTAATAATAAATTTTTAATGGCTATTTATTAATAAACATAAATTTTTATGAATTTACAATTTAAATTTGTAATCTCAATTTATTTTTCCGTCACTAATTTATTTAAATTTATAAATTTAACAACCTTTGCTTTGAAGTAAATGATATTACAAGTGAAAAGTATCATTACCTCATTTGGGGATTAGTTGATACATGGGTTGCCGTGAACTTGGGCCCGATGAGTCTTGCAGGGGGAGGTTTGATGGGCCCATCTCCTAAGAAAAACGATGTCCCATCAATTAAATGTTTCTTCTGCTCAGCTGTGATGTAATTATTATTCTTTTAATTAATGGAAAAATTCATAAACCAAAATATTTTCAATAAAATAATTACAGTTTTATTGAAAAATATATTAAGAATATAATGTTAAGTATTTAAACCTTTTCCGTAAATTACATTAAAAAAAAAAGTCTTCCCCATAAAATATCTCACATTGCCAGAACGGATAGCCCTTGTCAAAATTTATGTTACACCATCACATGTATTGCCTATAATATGGGGTGCTTTTCTGGAAAATTTATATGGCCTAAAATAATAACTAATGTAAAAATTTTTAAAAAAAACTATTATTTATTTACAAAAATATCACTTATGAAATTTTTTACGCCTTTCATTTATAATATACTCATTCCGTTAAAAAATGTAAAGTATTTTTTTGAAAAAATAGATGTTTAAAAATACAAGACATTTTTAGTCTTTCGAGATATAGTCATTATTTTTTTTTCAAAATATCCATATTGGTAATGATTTTATATTTATTATAGAGTGTTTAATAGGGATAAATATAAAAAGATAGAATTAGTTAAAAAGTAACTAACTACTTTATTAAAGAATAAAATTTAATTAAAATTTTTTTATATTTTTAAATAGAGAGAGTACTAATTATATGACATTTTTATGAATAATTTAGCTCACTGAAAACTAAAGTGAAAGCAATAATTTGGGTTGACTTTGATGGTTTGTATCCATCCATACTCATCGTTGACATGATATCAATATTTGTGATTTATTTTAGTTTCTTGACATGTGAGAAAATATATCTCGTTGACTTGTCATGAAGCATTAAAATACAATAGCTGATGAGACAACTTAATGACTAATTATTCTATTTATTCTCGTTTGGTACAACAAAACTCATGAATAAACAAGAATAGTCAGCTTGCATAAAATAAGAAGAAGAAGGATAGTCAAGCCACTTTCAAGTTTCAAGGGTCAACGATTCTTCAAAAATTTCCAGATTGATTGCCCAGAATGCATCATCTTTGGTGAAATTCTTGTTCATCCCTTACATAGATGCTCTCACTATATTTTTCTTTTTCGTTTTTAACACTAATTGAGTTGTAAAATGAAATAATGTGATTATTTACAAGTTTTCTTTCAAAATTTAAAAATCATTCTCCAAAATGTTACAACTCAAGTAATGTTAAAAATTATTCACTTTTAAATATGTAAAGTTGACTTGTTAATTATATAAGAAGATTTGTAAATTTGACAATCGGCCAATGCCCAAGGTTGGTCAAAATTGTACCTCTTCTATCCAAAATTATAAAATATTTTTAAATAAAATTACATATTAATAAAACTTATTAAATACACTTTACAATCTTATTTTTTTAAAATAAAAATATAAACTTTTAAAAATACCCTTCATTTAATAACATTAAATCCACACTTAATTAGTATTAAATAAAGAGAGATAAAGGATAATATTGAAATAAGCTTATTTAATGAAACATTAATCTTTTTAAAGTGTTTTATATTTTAAAATAGCAAATCTTCTAAAAAAAGTCTTATAATTTAGAATGGAGGGAGTATTTTAATTTCTTTTAGATGGATATAAAAATGATAACCCTAGCCTTTTTTTTTTAAAAAAAAAAGGCAAATAGTAGCAAACATATAAAGCAAGCAAGAAAAAAAAAAATAAAGAAAATGACCAAACATCTAACTGAAGTTAGAAGTAAATATGTGTCAGCCTGTAAAGGATTACCTCGAAGAAGAGTTTTGTGAACCGTCTTGAATTTGTTGAAGAAGAAGTCTATATCAATTATAACCATCGAAGATAAACCTTTAGCCAGAACCTTTTTAAAAAAAAAAAAAAAACAAAGAATTTCGGCCAGAAGATCAAATTAAAAATCTTGGGTCCATTGACGTTCATCTTCGGAGATAAGAAAATCAAAATCATCCATATTCATGGATCTTTACTTGTACCAGGTTAACAAAACAAGTTGTTGTCTATTGTGTAGAATTAAAATTTCCAACACAGTGAACTGTCGTTGCTTGTTTTTCGTGCAGATTAAACACCATCCAGTTCCCCAGGATTGGATGGGATTCTAAGAGGAAATAACCAAGAGACCACCTTTTTGCTTGGATCGGAATTCAAAGCCACTAACTTCTGATACATGTGAGTTTGCTTTGTTCCAGATACAAACATTCTTGAAAATTTCTCCAGCAAGTCAAACTCCATGTTAAGGATAAATTGTTTTAATAAGTCCTCGAGGACTTGCAAGCAGCTATTATTATCTAGAAAACCATATCTAAAGGATAAAGTTTCGCACCAAAAAGCCCTTGAAAAGGGAAAATCAAAGAAAAGATTAGGGATAGTTTCCTCTTCTTGGCATCCAAAGTTGTACAGACAATTTACATATAAATTATGTTTCCATGGAATATCCCTAATAGGAATCACTCCTTGAAGAAGCTTCGGAAAAAAAAGACAACTTGCTTTGAAGGAAGCGTAAGCTTCCAAAGAGAAGATCAAGGAAAGACTTCAAGGTGTTGAATTTGAATTGGATTCAACAAAAGTAAATTGAATCCTTTCCTTATACTGTAGTGGCCCAAGGTTCTATCTTTCCCAAATAGTTTATAAGGATATGGGAATGGAGGAAATTGTTGTAGCATCTTGCGGGGGCTAAAGTTGTTGCAGTGTATTCAAATCCCATTTGACATTTATCCATGATCAACAAAATTTATAGACTTAATTGGTATAATTTTCTTAAAGGAAACATATTTGTAATTTCGAAGGGCCTTCTTTGCAGTCTTCCTTATTTACTAGGGTTCTAATTTACAAAAGGTTAAGAGATAGGTAATTGTTGCGATTTCTAGATTTTAGGAGTGACATTGCAGACACTTGGAATCTAAAGTGGATTTCAAAAATGACACTTTGCCAACTTGAAATTTAGACGTGACCAGTACTCTGGAAAAAAACTTTGGGACCAAAAATATCATAAAACCCATGAAAAATCCATAATTGCGATGAAGAAATGAATGTGTGCGCGCACGTGTGTGGGGTAGCCACATGCCCAATTAACAAAAGCAAACTCACTATTTAGCGCCCCCCCCCCCCCCAAAAAAAACACTTTAGACATCAACAATTGAAATATTGACCAACCACCAAAAAAAAAAAGGAACTTGGATTGATTCTCATGATGATGATGATATGTCCGTTCACTTTCACGCCCTCTAAAAGGATAAACAAATAATAAATATAAAAAAGATTAATGTCAATAAATTTACAAAGTCAGATATATCTCGACAAGGTATTTTTATTTTACCAAGATCTCAATATATTAACATTTCAATTAAGCAATGTCAGCATAACTTTAAATACATGTAAATAAAATTTCTCAAATAATAAATAAACAAATAAATAGTAATTGGACTAAGTAAACAAATTTCTTCATTTTCATTCAGGGAGAGCCAATAATAGCAATGAAGAGCTGGGGATAAATTTTATCCTTGCATAGTTTAATGACCTCATATAATTCATGTAACCTACCTCACCTAGTAAGATAAGGCTTGTTGTTGTTGTTGTATATAACAAAGTTTAACCAACACTCCCAATAAACAATAGCACACCTACTATAGACACCCCAATTACAATATCACATTCACTACATTCACCAAGACCCAACTTGAGTAAACTATACCACGCATGCATAAGGTGATAATGGTGAATATCAATTTGCTCGTATATATATTTTAATGGACAGATCAAATCATACAATGCAATTATGAGAATTAAAACTTCTCATCAGGGACAAAGGGACTCAGCAGCCTAAGTTTTGAGATATGCCCAATTGAACCTTTCATAATAGCAATGATGTTGGAGCGTGTTACCATTAAAACAAAAAGGAAAGATCAGTGTATATAAATTATGACTACCCAACCACCCCATAGAGAGAATAATTTCAGCAAATTCAAACTCTAGTAGTACTAGGAAAAAAACAAAAAAGAACCCCCCCCCAAGCCTACAATAAAAGATACAATGAGAATCACTATACCCTAAATAAAATTTTCTAACTTTCTTGATATAATGGCATTAGGTGACCGGAAAGTCTCCAGCCTCAAGTTAGAGTTTGAGCGTAACTCACTCAGAACAGCATCCCCCTTCTCCATTTTTATTGCCTCCAAGGTGCTTCCAAGAACATGTGCTGCAAGTCCATTTTCTAAAAGTTGGCCTGGCTCCTCTCCACCTTCATGTAATAGCCAGCCGATCTCTTTCAAAGAGATGACATTTTCCGTCACAACTCTGGCAAAAATGCGGCCTAGAAATTCAGGTGCTCTGGGGGCATCATTAACAGCATCTTCCAGACCACTTAAAACAGATTCAAACCTAGCAATGGAAGAAATAACGGTGAGATTCTATGCAACATCAATTTTCTCTGCTAATCAAAAGACTTCCAATTAATTCTCACCCTAGGATAAGTTGAGACTGACTCAAGGTGCCATCCTGAGACTTTGTTAGGTTCACTAGTAATTTGGCCAAATGATCTCTTTCTGTGTCCTTTCTCTCAAACGAGTCTGTGACCCATAGAGAAATCATCGAGGGATGATAGCTTGGAGAGTTTAGATCTTTGACACATAGCGCAACTTCTTTTACATCTCTAGCACTGGAAATCAAAGCGTTCAGTCAGATAAACAACAAAATTGATGGAATGAAAACAACTTGATCACTGTAACATTGCCAGACTAAGAAAACCATGTATGTTGCTCAACACACTCAAAAAAATTTGGCTACTCTCAGTAATAAAATCAAAAAGATAAACATTGGAACAGTAATCATATAACTCTGAAACCAAAAACTACAAAAAAAATGTTGGGTGCATGTCAGAATTTTGTGCCTGTAATTTGTCCCCTTTTTTGTACAGGTCCAAAAATTGTAACTAATATCTAAATGATGTCACCCTGGTTGAAAAAGTCATAAGCAGCAGTAACTTCTGCAACCTTCTTCAGACAAATGGAAGTAAAGCAGTCCCAACCAATCAACTATAATCAGTACAGAAAGTAATAAGCCAAGAAATGATCGCACACCACCAAGTAGCTAGCATCCAGATATAAATCATAGGTTTGGCATAGACAAATTGCTTGCTTTTCAATATTAAAATTAACTATAACGTTATCTAAACAGTGTTTTGCAACCATAATTAATTATAAATGGAAAGCAGAACACTATTAGCAGGTTCTGGGTTCCATTGCGTGCACCATTGTAGATTTAAACAATGTGTAGCAGAAATTATTATATAGTTCAAAATGGCAACGAGATATATAAGGCTGAACTTCATAAGCCAAGCATTGTCTGAAATGGAAGATGCCTTCATAAATTGTGACATCTGTATCAGGTCCTCATAATCTTAACTAGAACACATTACTGCCAGTTTTTTATCTATATGACGTGCCAAGTATTATGTCAAACGTGTAAATCATATACTTGTAGCAGCAGACGTAAAAATTGAAATATCTATGGCTCCATATTGAACACACATTTTGTTCTCACTAAGTTACAACTCAGCTTAGCTAAGAACTAAATTTTGGCCATTAACCATCATTATAATCCCTGCACAATATTTATCTCCACTTGTAATTGTAATAGGATAAAGCTTAAATGTTCAATAATCTATTGCGATAAGTAATTCAAGATAAGCTTTTAGCTCTATGAATCCAACGTAAAACATTGACACAGAATGAGTAATGTCACCCACTACTTCTCATGGGGAAAAGTATGCCCTCATTAAAATCCAAGAAATAAAGGAAAGCATGGAAAATAATTGTTGCACAACATCCAACATACAGAAGTGAGAAAGACATACAATGGCAGCAAAAGATAAAAAAAAGCTAGATGAAAAGAGAAAAAAAATACCTGTAGTATTCTTTAATTGCTGCCATGGACATGTCCCGCAGTCGTTCTTCTGGGACTGCAGATCCTTGCACACCAGCAGTTAAAGTTGCAACAGGTCTCTCAAGATTCCAATCTGCATTTCTCAGCTCCTTATTACCATAATTAATAATACGCTCCTGAGCAGCTGATTGATCATGAGCAGTTGGACCAGAAAATCTGTCTGTTGCATATCTTGGCATGAGATCTTCTCTAGTGCTGTACTGAGCACGGTCTGATGAATTAGCATAACCATTAAGGCCAGAAATCATTCTTCGAGAATCAGCAGCAACTGGGAGTGCATCAGGAACAGAAGAACTTGGAATTCCAGCTGGCCCTCTAAAGGACATTCCTCTTGCAAGACCACCTTGTGGACCCAAAGTTATAGAATCACCACCTAAAGGTCTTTGAGGCAAATGAACTGACAAATTTCTACTCTCATGTGATAATCTATCATCACGACGAACATCCTGAGAGCCACCACTGCGAACCTGTGCAGAAGGCCCACGCAGCCCCATAGGGGTGTTGGGGGGAGAAAACATAGATGACGGCCCTCTTGGACTAAAATCCACAGGCATCCTTCTAGATGACGGTACATTACCTGGACCACGACCTAGCCTACCAGTTTGGGCCTGCCTCTCTTGGGCAGCATCTCTGTGCACCTCCTCAATCTTCTTTGGACCTTCAATTTTCCGCTTCTGTTGCCATTTGTTCTTTCTAAGATCAATAGCATCCTTCAACATGAATCTCACTCGAGAAGATAAATTCATGTTGTTTGATAACAATTTCATCCTTTCAAAATAAGCATCAATGTGTTCCTTGGCTTTGGGATGATCAATTATCGCCCCTATAGTACTCATCAGCTTGCACAAAGCTTCTATATCTTCTTCGTCAGGGTCCTTATACGATCCCAGTAACTTCGTGATGCACGCATGCATTATCCTCTCTGTCAACATTTTTTTCTTATATAACTCTCCAATCAACCGTATATTACCTAACATGCGTCTTCTCGCCTTAATTCGTTTCTCTTCCCTCTCTTCATTAGATTGCTTCACCTCGCCCTCATCATCCTTATTAGCCTCTTCTTGCTCTCTTTCACCCCTCTCAAATTCCTCTTGGCACTTGTTTAACAATAATCTCTTAAAAGTTATCTTTTCATTGTCTTCACTGAAATCAGGCAACTCAGCAGCTAGATGTAAGCAGAAATTGGCATACATTTCACAAAAGGTAGGCTCCATTAGAGCTTTCTCAAATATTTGAGAGATTACACCAGTAAGAGTGCCAGCATTGTCAATATTAACTGCTTTTACCTGCTCAAAAAGTTTCTCAAAATTCTGAGGAGTTAACTTGTTCAAAATGGCTTTCAACTGTCTTTGCTTTGCTTGTTCCTCATCTGTCACCTTACCCACCTCATACTTTTTCTCAGCTTTATGCATCATCTGCAGTGGGGTTTGAGGAGAAGGAATTAAACCCCTCTGCTGGTAGTTAGTTGCTCGGTGCCACCTCTCACCATCAGGGCTATTTCTCTGCATAACTCCCTGATTTCCCAAGGATTGCATTGGTCCAGAAAGGATCCCGCCAGCATATTGCAGAGGCATCTGAGCACGTGGGTTCCTCAAAACACCAAAATTGCCTCCTTGACCAGGTCGAAAACCTGCATTACCTCCAAATCCATCCATACGAATGTCATGTCCTGAATTAAATGGTCCAGGGACTTTACTCCACCGCTCTTCTTCAAACTTCCCAGACCCACGTCTATCCACTCGAGACATCCCACCAGGTCTATCTATAATTCTTCCTGGACTAAGATGTGAATCACGTTCAACACGAGAACCAGTAATATTAGAATTCATCAAAACCTCAGCAACGTCTGCTGGAATTTCAAAACCATCAGGAACATCAATGCATTGCTCTTCAAATTTTAAAAGGAAATCTCTAGAGTATTTTTTCTCCATAAGTTCACTTCCATCACTGATCAGTTGAGTTTTATCTGCAACTTCCAATTTTGGAGAAGACATGTCAGCAGCATCTTCCCAGTCATCAGGCTCAGCTTCATCATGTTCATCTTTCTCAGTCGCTGTAGCATCTGATTGAGCAGCCTCATTAGGCAACTGCTTTAAACTTCCTGGTAACATGCTTTCTTTGCTCTCTGAAGTTACAACTTCTTTCTTTTCCTCAGTTCTCTTGTATGCATTATAGAGATCAGAAGTTGACCCAGCAGCATCTGCTTTCTGAAGAATCTCCTTTCTTTTCTTCTTGCCTTTGGTTGTAGTTTTCAGCTTATTTGGCTCTGAAATAGGTCTATCCTTGTTAACTGATGTTGGAAGGGAAACGGAGCCACTGTCTGCATTCTCTGAACAATCCTTGCTATGTTTTGAAGTTGCTTCTGGGAGATCACCAGAATTCTCATCAGATGTGGCAGAATTAGCACAAATAGATTCATTACTAACCGTACTATCATTTCTATTTAAATAGATATCTCTAGAATCCAAATTATTTGAGGTGGACATGCCTAAATTATCACCCTTTCTGTCACATTCTGAGCTACAATTTGTAGATTCATCCTGCCATTCCAGTCTTTGTGGTACATCTTGTGATTCCTGAGCTGCATCCTGTTCTGTTTCTTTAAACTTCATCCCATCGTCATCACTTTTTTGTTTAAATACATCAGAAGATTTTTCATTTTTATTACCCCCTTCAAGAATCTGCGTCTTTGAAAGTTCATCCTGTTGTGATGATTCCTCTAACTTATCATGTTCGTGGTTCTTCAAACTATCAACACCTAAAGCACCAACTCCTTCAGCTGAGATGCAAACAAAACCTTCAGCAGAAGGGTCAATGTTCATTTCATTGGCATCAGGAACATTATCACTGTTAACTGTAACTGACAATGCCTCTGGTGTGCTAGAGCTATCTTCACTGGTTATTTCTGCAAAAGGCTTTTTGTTTTCTACAGTATCAGAAACTTCACTATCCGGCATAATGCTATCAACAACTTGAGAAGGTACATTAACCACCATCAGAGATTTTACAGGCACCTGTGGGAATAACCAAAAAGAAAATAGACTACCTCAAGTAAATTAAGACAAAAATAGAAAAAAAAACAATTTACTATTAAAGCATTCAAGTACCTGATGCAGTGATTCTCCTCTCTTCCCTGTTTTCTTGTGATTATCAGTCATAGAGTTTGACCTACTAAGAGATTCCTTCCTTCTGCCTTCATTGTTGGACACAACTGAGGCAGAATTCTCACTCACAGAAGCTGAAGAAGGCATCAAAGGAGTGGATGCAAGCTTCTCGGCAGATCCAGCAGCAGGTTGTTTTGGCAATGACCCTGGAACAAAAGAATCACTGGATGACTTTGAATGCTGTGAAGAGGTCTCAGAATAATTATCAGACCCTTTCTGAGACACAGTGGAGCCAGCATCAATAGATGCCCTCGAAGAGCTAGGAAATTCACCCGTTTTAACACCAGAGCCACCACTGGTTTTGATGCTAGCATGAGTGAGCCCAAATGTAGTTGATGAAATCACTTTAGGGACATCACGAGGATGTTCCAGATTTGGCATTTCACCATGGCCAGGAACAATAGTGCCAGTCTTACTAACAGGCAAGGAACTAAGAGATATTTGATTGTTAAAACCTGCATTTTGGGGGGCCTGGTTCACTGGATAGTTAAATCTTGGCTGCTGAGAATTAGGAGTTACGTGGCTACTTGATAAAGGAACAGAACTTGAAGGTGGGATAAAAAGAGAGCTGCCACTGTATGTGCTAGATGGGTGGTAATAGTTGAGGGAAGCGGTAAACGATTGAACAGGTTGAGACTGAGAAAGTATATTAGGATAAGACCTAGCACTTGATGAGGTAACATCTGAATGTGAATCTGCCTTTTTGTCAACGTCAAACCTCAGCTCTTCATGCGTCTCAGGATGAGTAATCCTGACAGTGGTAGTTTTGCGAGGACCAGCAAATTTCCCCCCTTGCTGCTGGGAATACTGTGGGTTCATGTTAATACCTGTGTTACCTAACTGATGGGGCAACTGAGGACTCATTTGAGAAGTGAAACTTAAGTTTTGTCCCTGATGCATAATTCCCTGAGCATGAATAGGATGTTGAAGTCCTGAAACAAAAACTTGCTGTTGTACTTGTGCAACATTTCCCATTGGTAAATGCATTGATATAGGCATCTGAAGAGATGCTGCCGTCAATCCCTGAGATTGAATCTGTGGATTAGGAACACCAAACTGTACAGGTGCCTGTGATTGATGATGATATGGCATCGCCATTGAAATCCCAGTCATGGCAACAGATGGCTTTTGCACCTGGCTTGATGGGGGCAAAGCTGACACGTGCTCCTCCTTTTTCGCCTTGTTCACTGAAGGAGCCTCTACAGCATTAGATTGGTCCATAACACCACCATTATTCGGTGGTGGTACCTGCTTTGGAGGTGTTGGCACTGAAGGCACAGGTCTAAAAGAATCATGACGAACCTGAAAAAAAAAAAGTCAGACAACAAATTAATATTTCCACGGTACAGAATAAGAAAAGATGAAAGAATATGCAAAGATGCTCGTCCTCTGTTTTTATTACCAGATTTTATTCCCAAAAGCCAGCTCCTGCTGAACCAATTAAGATATAGTAGACAAAATGTAGCTACCATTCAAGATTCATCTTCTAAAATTATATTCTTTTTCTTTCTCAAGATGTTTGCAGTGGCAATAAATCCATATTGTAGCACAAAAATAAGTGGGATTGCATGGAAAAGAATAAACCTGCATACCTGATCTCTTTTCTGCTCATCCAAATTTGGAGGAGCTGAGCTTGTGCGAGCAGGAACCTAGTTATCAGAAAATAAACACAATTAACTACATTGACTAAAAAATCTAAGCAACATTCAGTGTACAATACTTCAGACACATTAACAAAAAACCGATAAGAAACATACAGAAATCCCATTCATGAAACCGGGACTAATGGACCCAAATTGGACAGCAAACGGCTTGGATGAATCTCCAGGGGCTGCATTAATTATAATCATAATTAAAAAAATCAAAATTCAATCAGTTCAGTCTTAAAAGTCACACGTGAGAAAGTAAATAATTTAAATTTTTCAAGCTGCAATGTGAGCATATTAGGATTTCTTCCTTGTCTTATGTAACGAGTACAAAGCAGGCAGCAGTAACATACCCTTGGCAGGGGTTGTAGGAGCTGCTGTATCAGAACTCACGGTGGCAGGTCGAGGAGTTGGAGCTTTCGGAACAACTCTGGTGCTCTTCTGAACAGATGACAGTTCAGATAACTTGGCAGCTGCATTTGTAACTGGTGCATCAGATGCTTCTGTTATACCACATGAATGAAGTTCATAAAGAATATTCGCAATCATAATACACCAAACACTCACATGCTGACATAAAATTATACAATGGCAATGGAATCTCAGAAGGACCTTTTAAAGTAAGGCCAATACATGCATTCATACGCAAAATTCCACCAGATAACATAACCAATCAATAAAGGCAAGGCAGGACAAAACCAACGTTTCCCCACCCCAACAAAATGTCAAACATACCCGGTGATTGCTGTGTATGGGCACCATTTGGTATCGTCCCGCCTGTAGAAGCACTATTAGACTCGGCTGAATTCACAGGGGGAGGGTTTACCCTAGATTGCCCACCATGTGGATAATCAGACCTCTTAAAACTAGGACAAGCAAGAAGCAGAGTTAATAGAACAGAAAGAGCACACTGATGAGGACGATAGAAAAACACAAGTCACAGAACTCCGTTTTCCCAATCTGACGCATTCGTCACAGTCCAGACAACACAATTCTACATAGAAACGTAGAAATGACGCCGCTCACATTCCCACAATCCAACAACAAAGACAAGAAACTAAAACTTGGAAAACCTAGCCTACCTCCGATCAGAGGGCGGTGAGGAACCCGAAGTGATCACGGGAGAAGGCGCGGGCCCGCCGCCAACACCCTTGACGTACGTGCCTGAGGAACCTCGCTGCTGATTGAAGCTCCCTGATCGCCCGGATTTACGGTGATGATTGTCGCTCTTATCGGACCTTGATTGATTGAAGGACATATATCCCAATTCTTAATTGCTCAACAGACACAATCAGAAAACCCAAAAAATTAAAAAGGAAAAGGAAAAGAAACAAACAAACTCCTCTCTTTCAAATTTTCCCTGCAGCCAAACAAACAGATCCACAGTATTATGAAAAAACAACCTTTCAACAACTCAAACCCGTCAATTATCATCAACCCATAAATACACACACAGTAAGACCAAAAAAAAAAAGGGTTGTCGAAGGAAGCACCTGCACAGTGAAGTGTGGTGGATTAGGGTTTTATTGGGTTGTCATGCATGGCAGTGCGAGACGAAGGGCCTGGTAAATAAAAAAAAGTAAGGAGGAAAAAAAAAAGGAAAAGAAAGGAGAAGAGAAGAGAGAAGAGGGGAAAGAAAGAGAAGAGAAGCCAAATCGGTTGATTTCGTAGGAGAGAGAAAGGAGAGCGTCTGGTAACAAACCAGAACACTGTAAGGCCTTAAAGGAGTGGTCAAAAGATGAAGGTAGGATTCTTAGATCAGTAATCGAAGAGTTGGCGTTTCAGTGAGAGTTCTTCGCTCGGTTTATTTACTTTCATCCTCCTCTCTATCTCTCTCTCTCTCTCTTTTTTTTTTTTTTTCAAATTCTTTATCTACTCTAATTAAAAAAATTATATGTAGTACTCTTAAATTATTTTTTATTTTAAAAAATTATCTTCATTTTAATTTTTATCTAAATTTTAAAACAATAAAAAAAATTTTGAGCTTGTACTCTAGAGCTCGGGTGGGCTTCACTTATATATACTTAAACCCAAAAGCTTTATTACTATAAAATTAATTATTTTTTTAAATTCTGTCTAAACATCTTAAATTTTTAATTTTAAAATTAAGCTAGTTAATTAAAGGCATTTAAGTAAAACTGAATGTTAGTTAATTTAATAACGGCTAGTGATAGCTAACACGCCTATCAATTTTAGATACAGCTTTTAGATCAGGCCTAGAAGTTATTTGAGCCACTTGTGCTAAAATTTAAAAAGTATTTTAGATTGGCCCATTTTATGCCATTCGTTGGCAAAAGGCACCATTTGCTATAGTGAATGATCTAAAATTTTAAACAATCAATTCACAATTTGCAAACTATAGAAGAGAAGGAAAAAGGAGACAAAAAAGGAGCAATGGGAGGGAATATTTTGGTCTACTAGGGCAAGCTTTTAAGACCATTCTAAGGGAATTTAAGCTTCCACACTCTAAGGTAATCGCTTTCCTTCCTTCCCTCTTCTCTCCCATGTGATTTTCTGCTTAAGTTTCGCTTTGGGGATAATGATTTCGAACCTCTTGATGGTAGGATCGAACCCATTGGTTCTAATGAGACTAATGGAAATTTTTTAATACTTCTAAATCTAGTTTTTGAGGATATGATAAGGTTATAGGTTTGGAGCTAGGGTTTCAAACAAACCCTAGCCACTTTAAGGATGAATTTGGATTTTTGAGTGTTAGATTAATTGTTATTTAAATTAATGGGAGCTAAATAGAGTTAATGAAAGTTAATAAACTCTTTGGTTGTCATTTTAAGCTTGCATTTGGGAAATTTTAATGAGGAAAGTGTGAGATTAGGAGTTGTAAGTGGCTTTTAAGTGGATGTTTAGTGATTGTGGATTTACTTTTGATTGTTGTTTGACCTTGTCAAATGGTTGTTAAGCTCGTGATAAACTCAAAAGCAAGTATTTAGGGGGTAACCTTTTAATTCTCAAAAGTTTGAGGTAATTAAGAGATCTCTAACTTATACTATTACTTGTTAGATTGATTTTTGTTATTTTGTAAATATGACTAATGTGAATTATTTAAAAGTAAACTTATTTATTATTTTAGAAACTATATATGCAAGGATGGCTTTCTTCAAATTTGCATTGAAATAGATTTATATTGAAAGTATTTTATATTTTTGGAAAGATTGTCTTATGATGGTGGAACTTTATATGCATGTTTGTTAGGGCCATGGGAGCCTCAAGGCAAATAAGATAATTGCCTAGGGGCCCAAAAAAATTCATTAATATCCCTCATATGAAGGGATGTATTTGTACAAATTTATAATAAATGGTAAATAAAAAAATAAAGCCTCAATTTTTCTCCTCATTGAAAAATGAAAAACTTTTCATATTTCCAAAACAATATTGAATTTTTAGGTTGGCTCCAACCTAGCCATTAATGATCATTTATTTTCTTTTTATAGACTACAATTCCTATTTTGGTATTATTATCTTAGACTCTCTCTCTTACCTTTCATCTTCACGTTTCTCCCTTATCTTCTTGCTTTTATTAAGCGATAAAGCCTAGAGAAAGCATTCATCAAATACCTTTCTTGCTGTAATTTTTTTTTTTTTTGCAATATCTTTTGAGCCAACCAAAGCAATGGAGCCTTGGAGGGAGGACAAGTCATCTATGCCTATTGTATGAAGTTCTAATCCCTCGGTGCCTAAATCTCCAGACTCTAAGCAAGGTGTGTTTGTTCCTTTCTTTCTTTCTAGTCCATTTTAAATCAAGCTAGAGGCATTTTTGTCTAATTTTTTATTATTTCTAGTGGTAAACAAAAACTGATTGAATCAAAATGTGGTGCTCTTGATAAATTTGTTACTATTAATGATAAAAGAGATATAACAACAACTTTAGTTGATGAAGAAGTAATAGAACAGCCACCTATGGATGATGTTGAAAATTCTGGTAAGTTTAATTAAAATAAAGAGCAACAAGAAGATGATACAAATTTAAACAAAGATAATGAATTAGAAGAGAATGTTAAATATAAAAGTTCATCAACTGACATATCTAAAAATATTTATGACCTAGCGCAATGGAAAAATATTGATGAGAAGTTTACAAATTTGATGGTAAAAAAGGGTCTAATCAAGTATAAAAATTTGCAATTTCTAAAAGATAAAAATAACAGACATTTTTCTTCATCTTTTTACCAATGAATAATGCCTGAAGAAAAATATAATAGAGAATGGCTAGTTTATTCAAAAGAGTTTGATAAAATCATTGATTTTGTTGTAAGCTTTTCTATTTAAAAAATAATGTTAACCAACTAGTTAATGAAGCGACTAGAGTTTGGAAAAATCTTGGTTCCAAACTTAAAAGTCATGAACATATCATTGATATGACCAAAAGGAATGAACTAGAAACAAGATTGAGAAGAACAAACACAATTGATAAAAGCGTATAGGAACAAATTAATAAAAAAAATGAATACTGGGAAAAGGTTTTACTTAGAATTATAGCCATAGTTAAATACCTTTCTAAAAATAATCTTGCCTTTCGTGGGACAAATGAGAAGATATATGAAAAATAAAATAATGGCAACTTTTTGGGTTTGACTGAGATGCTTGCAAAATTTGACCCAATTATGCAGGAGCATGTTAAACGAATTAAAAATGGCAAACTTCTTGCTCATTACTTGAGTAATATTATACAAAATGAACTTATAAATTGTTAGCTTCCCAAATAAAAAATATAATAAAAAAAAGTCAAAGATGCAAGATATTATTCTATTATTCTTGACTGTACTCTCGATGCGAGTCATAAAGAACAAATGACTCTAATTTTGAGATGTGTTGATAATATGAGTTCTCTAATAAAAATAGAGGAGCATTTTGTTGAATTTTTAAAAATTGATGATATATCAGGTAAGAGCCTTTTTAATGAACTTATCAATGTGCTGAAAAAAATATGAGCTTGATATTAATGATATAAGGGGACAAGGTTATGATAATGGAGCTAACTTGAAAGGTAAGAATCAAGGAGTGCAAAAAAGATTATTGGACACAAATCCTAGAGCATTATATACACCATGTGGATGTCATCATTTGAATTTACTTTCATTTGGTATGGTCAACTCATCTCCTAGAGCTCTCTCACTGTTTTTTTTTTTTTGGATTTCTACAACATATTTATTCTTTATTTGCCTCTTCCACCAAATGGTGGAAAATTTTGCAAGATAATATATGCAAATTTTCTATAAATCATTATCTCAAACTCAAAGTAGAATTGAAAGCATCAAAACAATAAAGTTTCAAGCATCACAAATAAGAAATGCTAATATTCAATTATCAAAATCAAGTGAAGATCCCAAAATAAAAAGTGAAGAAATGTGTTTAGCTACTTATGAGATTGAGAATTTTGTGTTTTTATTAGGAATTAGTAAATCACCCGTGTGTTGCAAGGGATGTTATTTTTGCAGCTTCTTCTAATAGTTAGATGGTAAAAAATATTTACATATTGAGTAGTTATATGCCTAAAATAATAATAAGATGTAACTAATATGTAAATGATTAATATTTCAGAATGATGGTAAAAAATCATGGTGATGACGCATTAGGTAAATTTTAAACCACTATCTGATCTCAGGTAATTTGTTAACACATATTATAGATGAATGCAACCACTTATTACACCAAATAGAGTTAACAAAAAAAATTATGGCATCTCAATAAATAGGCAGTTATCATGCATCAGTTAGATTATTGAAAATCTCCCTATAGACTACATTGAATGAAACATTTGTAGAGTCGGGAATAAGGGCCGGGCTTGACGGGCCGCCCGTTTAAGCCTGTTTTAATAAGGGTTCGGGCTTAAAAATTTGACATTTTTTAGGGTAACCGAGCTTCGAAACCGGCCCTTTTAGACCCTAGAAAAATGGGCTCGGGACCGGGCGGCCCGTGAAGCCCGTTTTACTATTCACAAAGTATTGTTTTCACCTCTTTCCAGATAATGTGCAAACATTGATTTATATTTTGTACCAGCAATTAGTTGAATTGTTTTGTGCCATTTTATAGTAATTTTTACATTTTATCTTGTGATATATGTATAGATACATATTTGATAATAAAATAATTTAATTAATAATTATTGTAGGTGATGATGAAGAAGCTGCAGAAATAATTAATATTGAGCCTCCGCCGCCATCTTTCACAAATGGATCTACATCTAAGGGTTTTAATATTTTATTTATGGATGATAATGAGGGAGATCTTGATTAGGATTGATGATGATGTTTGCCTTCATCTTATTTGGACTTTTAAATTTTTTGTTCATTTTTTAGATTATGTGAGACTTTGGTTTGATATATGTTAAATTTTAAAATATTCTAAATAAATTTAAATGTTGAATTTTATTTTATTTTATTTTATTCTTATCCGGGCTTACGGGCCCAGCCCTAAGCTCTATGAATAAGGGCCGAGCTTCAATTTTAGGATCAAATTGAGGTAACCGGGCTTTATGGGCCTAGGCCCGCCTGTTTACCAACTCTAAACATTTGTGGTCTTACCATCTACATTAAGAATTAATATCTTCAACCTTTTTCTACTTCGCACTCGAGATATAGCCACCACATATAGCTGGCCATGTGTAAAGAAAGGCTTTGGTAAGTAAAGCCTAATGCTAAGTAAGCTCTAACCTTGGCTCTTGTTTATGGTTATAGTGAAGGACAATATAATTGGAAATTGTCTCCTACGAAGAGTGAATGTTAG